CATTCAGAGAATTAAATCGTTTATTGATTACACATGATAATGGATACACAATCTTCATTCCCATCTATCATTTTATCTGGTACCATTATTCAATTTAGATATCGCATAGGATGTGCCAACCATTGTTTTTATAACCAAATAAAATTCCATGACTTTGCTTGAGTCACCCTGTCAATGGTGAATTTCATCAAGGTCACAGTAACTGTCAGTTAACTACACCAAGGTTTCTTTCTGAAAGCAATGGTTTCTGAACCCAAGCAGTTCCAAGTAAATTTCAAATGAAATTTGGCACCACCCTGAAGTAATTCTAACTCCACACTGTTGGGGCAGGTTTACCAAGATGGCTTCAGAGTAGACTAACTTTACACAGCACATTTAAAAAAAAGACACATTTATTCAGCGTCATGATCAGACTATTACATTTAGCAATCAACAGCATGGGTGCAAAAAAAAGAAAAAAAAAAAAGAAAAAAAAGTCTACATTAAAACCCTTTTGTTGGAATGCTTTACACTTTCCACAGAACAGAAACTAAAATAACCTGTTATACAATTAGTCACAAATACAGTCCTCGAGTTTTTTGCCCATACACATGAGTATTGTCTAAAACATGTCTTCTTTGTAGCAGCTAGGCCCTGCCACCACTGTGCTTGGCTGAGTTCACAAATCTGTTGTAACCTGTAGCTTCCCTGTCACTTCTCTGGCTCTCCTCTCCTGCTAAGCTTTGTTTCCTGTTGAACAATATGGAATAAAGTTGTTAATCTAAACATATTAAGACTCAAGGCTACAAATCCAATACCACGTTGTTTCCCACAAATTTTGCTGATCTGAATATTAACTTAATATTCACAAATTTACTGCAATTATAAGGTTAACTATGTTGCACTGCTCAGCTACACCAGGGTTACTGGGTTTATCAGCAATTATAAAAAATTCAGCTAACATATAAGAAAGGTGCTTACTTACCTGGCAGTAATTAAAACCTCCTTCCACTGCCATAGCTACTGCTGCTGCTGGAACCGCCATAGCCACCTGAAATATTATTTCATCATTTAAAATCTGTGGAAATGACCATTTAACAGCCAAGTTTCTCTGTATTTGAGATTATTCATGTGTCTGAATTCAGATTTATGCATCTGAACCTTAATTGACAAAGGCATGGTTTTTTCCCCCCAAAATTAAAAATTGTCACCTTATTATTGCCCACATGCACACTATCTGGAATATTTATGAAATCTTCACCAATACTAGGTGTAGATACCTTTATCCAATCACAGAAATATACCTTGGTTTCGTGGTTTGGCGAAGTATTGGCCTCCACCACCATAGGGGCCAGAGCTTCTGCCCCCAAAATTTCCTCCCTTCATGGGTCCAAAATTTGAAGACTGATTGTTGTAATTGCCAAAATCATTGTAGCTTCCACCACCTCCAAAATTGCTACCTAGAAATAGAAGGCCCTTGTCTGTTAGTTGAAGATCAACAGTGCTCAATTCTGTTTTGTATCAAAATGAAAGTTGTTATCATCTGTGTGCTTTCCTCCCAAACTGGTAGCTCTGAATCTTTCCATTTCATTCTCTGGGTAAGGCATTCAGTTGAACAATCCATTGTTGAAAGAAAATCCAAAGGCATATGGCAAGTTTTCCTAGTGACGTAAGAATTGTCCAGGCTTTCCTGCATCCAAAGCCAGTGCAGGTTTTTGGGGATATATCAACTAATTGCCTTAGGTCCCAAAGGACTTCATATACTAAATCCTATCATGGTGCTAATCTAACTCAAATAGCAGGGAATCACTATCCACTTACCTAACTCTTTGGGAGTGAGGCGGCCCCAGCTTAAAGCCAGGAGGAGGTAGCACAGCAAGCCTGTTTTTAATGTACCATGCAGTGTACCACACAATGCTTTAAAAGCTCCAAAATCCAACACAGGCAGAAACTCTAAAATGCTAATCTAGCTACCACACCAAATACTGGATCACTGGATACCTACCACTACCACCGCCAAAGCCGCCTCCGCCTCCTCCGTTGTTATAGCTGTCATAGCTGCCACTCCCGCCATAGCCACTGCCCTGGTTTCCATAACCCTGTCCACCACTTCCATAGCCTCTGCTTCCAGAGTAACCAGGGCCGCCTCCTCCATAACCACCTACAAGAATACAATTCTTCTCAATAAGACAAAAGTATTTAACAGCAAAAATCTCTGCATGTGTGATGGCTTGCGGCCTAATAGCATGCTTATTATGGGTGAAGTTGAATGTGTTCATGCACTAAAAGTTTAGTCTCTACTAGCCTATTCTAAAGGTGCAAGTCGCTAGAAAATTTTACTTACTATATTTAGTAAACTTACCATCATTACCAAATCCATTGTAGCCATCCCCACTACCGCCATATCCTCCACCACCACGGCTGCCACCAAAGCCACCTGAAGGAAAGCAGAATTTTAAACTAGGTTTGGACTGCACCCAGACTAAGTGGAACAGGCCAACAGTTATTTCAAGGTGCAAAAAAAGAGAATCTAGCTAAGTATGCACCCATCTTTAGATTTGGTAACATACCTCGACCACTGAAGTTTCCTCCACGACCAAAATTGTCATTGCCACCAAAACCACCTCCACGACCGCCACCAAAGTTTCCAGAACCACTTCGACCTTAAAAAGTTAAGTTATAATGTTACAACACACCTCACAGTAACTTTTTAATCTACACTGCCTAGCTGTAAAATCAAGTAAACATACCTCTTTGGCTGGACGAAGCACTAGCCATCTCTTGCTTTGATAGGGCTTTCCTTACTTCACAGTTGTGGCCATTCACAGTATGGTATTTCTGAACTGAAAGAATGTAAGACTTAGAATACTGTACAGGTTTTTGGAACCTTATATATACAACAATTTTGTCTACTTACTGACAATCTTGTCCACAGAGTCGTGGTCATCAAAAGTTACAAAAGCAAAGCCTCTTTTCTTTCCACTGCCTCGGTCAGTCATGATTTCAATCACTTCAATTTTGCCATATTGTTCAAAGTAATCTCGTAAATGGTGTTCTTCAGTGTCTTCTTTAATGCCACCAACAAAAATCTTCTTCACAGTTAAGTGGGCACCTGGTCTCTGAGAATCCTACAGGAGAAAAAGAACATCTCAAGCTGTTTAAAACAGAACAAGGCCAAAAAAAAAAACCCCTCCCCAAAGATTTTAAAATGTTAACCATTCCATACATAGATGTGCAATTAAAAACAATTACTTCTCTTGAGACGGCTCTTTTTGGTTCCACGACTCTTCCATCCACTTTGTGTGGCCTTGCATTCATAGCTGCATCTACTTCCTCCACAGTGGCGTAAGTTACAAACCCAAAGCCCCTGGAGCGCTTGGTGTTGGGATCTCTCATTACCTGAGAAGAGTGTTAATCCAATTAATTAGATAGCCTGACCCCAGAAGCTAATATCATTCCCTTCCAAAGAACAACAGAATAAACGTTACCAGCCCTGTCTACACCACACTCAGTTTCCAAGGCTAAAGATTTAACACCTAGTTTTTAAAAAGACAGGATAACTAAAAAAAAAAAAAAAACACTTCCAACTAAGACCTACTGTCAAGACACACGAAGAGAAAGACCAATCACCTACTGTCAAGACACACGAAGAGAAAAACCAATCAGTCCTACGGTCTTACCACACAGTCCGTGAGGGTTCCCCATTGCTCAAAATGGCTCCTCAGACTCTCATCGGTCGTTTCAAAGCTCAGCCCTCCGATGAAGAGCTTCCGCAGCTGTTCGGGCTCCTTGGGAGACTGAAGGGAAAGGGGAGTAGGAAGGGCTTAATGGGATCTTTGACACCGATTCTCACCAAACCCTTAAGCCCAGGGCACTTATTGTTCGTGATTTTCGCCCCACGCCACGTGACGGCCCAACCTCGGGTGCATCGCCCCGGGCGCATGCGCTAACTCCTCGCACGCACGCGCAACAAAAGGCTAGGCCGGAGCGGGAAGGGCTGCAGTGCCCATGAAATGCTTAATAGCTTTTTAGGAAACTCAACTCACTGAACAAGGCAGAAAAACAAAAAAACTCCAGACCGTAAGTGCTTAACAATCTTGCTACCAGCAACGAGCTAAGAGGGTGATAACGAATGGTTGGCAGCCGCGGCCTCATGGCGGCGATGAGGACAAAATGGCGACCTGAACTTTGGGAGTAGGCCCCGGCAGAGATTTGAAAAAAAACTGCTGTAAGCACTCGTGTCAACATCAGCAACAAGGAAAAAAAAAATGCTACGTTCTACCTAACTGTAGAGATGAGGGGGAAGATCAAATTGCAGAGAGTCTCACTTACCTCGGACTTAGACATGACGGCAAGAGAGGGGTGGGAAGAGACACTTGAGCGATGCTTCCTCGGTCGCGTCCACGAAGAGAAAGGAGTAAGCCAAAGAGCGCATCCGCCAGCCTACCGTCAGCCTCGCCTATTTATCCCGCCTCCTGGCAATTGGCATTGGTTGACTCCACCCCTGCCTAGCTCTTATTGGGTATTTAAAATCGCTTCCTACGACTATTGGTCTGCGGTACAACCAGGCTGCGAAACGTCATCCGTTAGGGCGTTCTACGCAGTCCCCGCCCCTTAGAGCCCATTGGCTCCGAGCAATGTTATTCTTAAGTAGCTTGATTGGCTGTCCTGCCAATCATTTATTTTTGAATGTTTTCCCCACGATACTTAAATGACTTTTACGCTCTACGCGAAACCATTATTTTCAATTCGCTTGGCAGAGCATGGCTAATATTACGCGGAAGAGAAGCAGCCCCGCGACTTCTGGCGAGGATCACCAATTAGGCGCATGTGTAGTAAAATGGCGAGTTTACGCAGGCGTATTAAGAAGTTCCGCCTGCCAGGAACACGTGAAATGGCGGGCGGGAGAGGGCGGTGAAACTACGGCGCTTGCGTAGTGGCGGGAGTAGTGTACCATTTTGCGCAGGCGTAATGGGCGGAGAAAAAAGGTCCGCTCCTTGGATTGGTTGCGCAGGCGCAGGGAAGGATCCGTTTTGGCGGGCGGTTGGCGTTGCGCAGAAGGCGGCGGTAGCGGAGGCTTGTGGTGCGGCCTCACCACAGAGGAACAGGGCTGGCGTTAGTGTGAGTGATTACTCTCGATCCCGGGTAAGTGGCAGAGAGTCTTGTCTACCCATATGAGATCTCGAACAGGCTCCAACGGGGCCCGTTATTGTGTGAAATGAATGGACCGCGGGGTGGGGGGAATAGTGAAGGGGCAGCGATGGATCCGGCCAGCCAATAGGAGAATAGGGGGCGGGATGTTGTAGTCCTGCCGGTTCTTTGGAGCTGTGCAGCCGGAGAATTTGACTGGCAAGTATAGCGGCCAATTGGTTCTGCCTTTAGCTGCTGGCTGATAGGCCCTTGGGCCATCGGAATGGAGGAGGCGGGTTTTCGTCTCCTGAGCGGCGGCTCATCGACCCAATGAGCACCTAGCGCGCGGTAGGTTAGCCATCTGCTGGGAGCTGAGGTTTAACTCCACTGGAGAGCGCGGGAGTCGGGCTGGTAAAACAGATCGACCTTATCTGGAGCCACTATATGGACATGCTCTGCAAAAGAGGGAGCTCTTTTCTGGAGGATTCGAGGGGCTATTTCATGCACAATGACTTCTCTTTAGGCTTCTTTGGCACACACCTCCTGGTTAGGGCAAGCGTAAAATTTCCTTCTCGGTGCCCTCCTTGAATTTGGCATTTCCCCCACCCCATACACCCCCTTTAGGTTTGAGGAATGGGGTGGGGGGTGGGGATGGGGTGGGAAGGACCGTAGATTTTGAAATTGCACTTTTTAAGAAAAGTGATAGATATGTTGGAACGATTACGGTAACCGTGAGCTGCGCTGGAAGGCGTCCAGGAAAAATCTACATCTTAATGAGATGTAGATTTGTAGGTCCTGCAGACAGGATTTTTTGTTTTTTTGTTTTGGAAAGCTGCACTATTAGGAACACCGTGGGGTTAAGGCAGGTTGGGTCTGTAATGTTTAAATCTCTGCAGAGATAATTTGTCATTAAAAATTAATTTAAAAAATCATTTGTCTTTGTGTTTCCAGTCATGTACTTCTCATCACCCTTTTTCATTATTTTTAGTGTCAGTGCTTTAATCTCTTTTTGCCAGAAAATTTTCCTTCCATAAGTATCTTTACAGCATTAAAGATTTTCGAAGCCCCTCTTCCTGCAGTCCTTTGAGGATGCCTGACTATAAAGGAGTCTTCATTTGGGTGATATCTAAGTGTATTTTAAATAGTTTAGTTCTTTTGATAATGCACACTGTACTTACTCCAGTATCATTTGTATAAGTATAAATAAATCATCACTTATTAGCTGTAAGAGTCATACTACTTTATTGTTAATTGCTTTATTTAGAGAAGGTAATTAAATCAACATGAAATATGATTTGAGACCTTCTGATTCTATAAAAGGCTAATGATTTTAGTGAATCTTATAATGAACAAGGATTTCTACATTCTCTGGTACTTTCAAAAGGACAAACATTTTTATAACTATTTGTAAACCTACAACAGGAATGCTAATGCAGTTGTTGAGCTAAGAACTAAAGTGATTATTAATAGGTATGATAAACCTGCCCCTTGTGGGGCAATTTTGGTGGTAATTTTTTCATTGAAATTCTGAAACTATCATATTGATGATCGTAAGTAGACTTAGCTTCTGCCTCTGGAGAATCAAGTTCTTAGACCATTCTTATTAATAAACAAAGTTTTAGCCTATCTTTCAAAACTTAAAGCACTTAGAGCTTAAGATGCTACTATTGTATCTAATGTTAACAGGATTATTTATTAAGTGTGGAATTAACACTTTTAACTAACCTGTTGGAACTAATAGCAAAGTATTAGTTGAGGAAAGAGAAAGGAAGCATATGTCTAAAGTGATTGGATTTTTTTTGGGGGGGGCGGTTGTGGGGCTTGAACTCTGGGCTTAGGTGCTGTCTGAACTTTTCAGCTCAAGGCAAGCACTCTATCACAGCACCACTTCCGGTTTTCTGGTGGTTAATTGGAGAAACAGATCTCACGGACTTTTCTGCCTGGGCTGGCTTTGAACCATGAGCCTCAGATCTCAGACTCCTGAGTAGCTAGGATTGCAGGTGTGAGCCATTGGCGCCCGGCTACGTGATTAAATAAGTTAAAGAAAGTTTTGGAGATTTTTCCTTGCCCTGAGAATTTTTGGGGGAACTTTTTTTTTTTAACTGTCCTAGGGCTTGAACTCAAGGCTAGGGCACTGTCTCTTAGTTTTGTGCTTAAGGCAAGCACTCTACCACTTGAGCCACAGCACCACTTCCATCTTTTTTTCTTTTTTCCTTTCTTTTTTCTTTTGTGTGTGTGTGTGTGTGTGTGTGTGTGTGTCAGTTGTGGGGCCTGAACTCTGGGCCTGGGTGCTGTCACTCAGCTCTTCAGCTCAAGGCTAGCACCTACCACTTGAGCCACAGGACCACTTACAGCTTTTTCTGTTTATGTGGTGCTGAGGAATTGAACCAGGGCCTCATGCGTTCAAGATAAGAACTCTACCACTGAGCCACCTTCCCAGCCCCCAGCTTTTTCTGAATAGTTTGTTGGGGATAAGGTTTCTTGGACTTTTCCTGGCTGAGCTGGCTTTGAAAGGTGATCCTTAGGTCTGTTTCCTGAGTAGTTAGGATTATAGATAGGAGTGAACCATCAGTGGCCAGCTTGTCCCTGAGTTTTTGTGCTCAAGGCTAGTATTCTACCACTTGAACCACAGCACCACTTCCAACTTTGTGCTAATTAGATAAGAATCTTTTTTTTTTTTTTTTTTTGGGTCCGGTCGTGGGGCCTGAACTCTGGGCCTGGGCGCTGTCCCTCAGCTCTTCAGCTCAAGGCTAGCACTCTACCACTTGAGCCACAGCGCCACTTCCGGCTTTTTTCATTTTGCTTATGTGGTGCTGAGGAATCGAACCCAGGGCCTCAGGCATGCAAGGCAAGCACTCTACCACTGAATCTTATGGGGACTTTTCTGCCTGGGCTGTCTTTGAACCCTGCCCTTCAGATCTCAGTCTCCTGAGTAGCTATGGTTACAGGTTTGGACCACTAGCCCCAGGCATGGGCACCAGTTCTAACACTGTTACTCCCTCCCTCCCGCAGTGGGTCTTTTTTTTGCCAGTTCTGGGGCTTGAACTCAGGGCCTGACCACTCTCCCTGGGCTTCTTTTGCTCAAGGCTAGCACTCTACCACTTGAGCCACTGTGCCTCTTCCAGCTTTTTCTGTTTATATGGTACTGAGGAATCGAATCCAGGGCTTCACACATGCTAGGCAAGCACTCTACCACTAAGCCATATTCCTAGCCTCCCCTCCCCCTCCCCCCCCCCCCCGCTTTTTTTTTTAAATGTGACCACATAATGTGATTCCCATGCAAGTTATCAGAATCACCCATTAAATAACACCACTTAATAAAGCATTTCTAGTCTTTAATTTGTCCTTTCACTCTATCTGTTTCTATTTGTATTCACCTTGTCTGAAATTGAGCCTAAAGCTGTGCTATGCATATTGACTTTAAACAGCAATGAATCATAATGTGAGTTATCATTTGATTTAGTGTTGCTGTTTACAGATTATTAAACAAACCATGCAGTCATCTTTTTGTCTTGACATAAACTTGGTTATTTCCTTCTTGCTTATAGAAGATGACTTTAACTCATTGTACTAATAGTCCAGGTCCTTCTGAGACGAGTTGGCATACACAGTCCAAGGTACAGATTTGTTGGATTTTTGTAAGCCACATACTCATTTCTGATGACAACTTTACACTTGTGCTGGCAGAACACCCACATTGACATCTTCTGCCTATGTTTAGTCTGTTCAGGAGATCAAGCAGCTAGTATGTTTGCAGTAAAACCTACACGGTTCTTGTTAGCAGCTATGTAAATATCAAGCCTTTCTGAGTTTGTATTTCTCAGGTCTGCCAGTTTATTTTGAGGTAAATTGTATCCTTACCCTTTAGAGAGATTAGAGATCTTAGTCATTTTTAAAGTTACTTGAAGCATTTTTTTTGCTAGGGTTGGGAGGGGGGTGAAGCATTGTGGGGCTTGAATGAACTCAGGGTGTTGAGCTTGCTAGGCAGGCACTCTACCACTTGGGTTGTGCCTCTAACCCTTCTTGCCTTGAATATTTTTGTGGTAGGATCTTTTGCCCTGGACCTTGATCAACTCCTGTTTCTACCTCTTGCCTTAGCTGGAATAACAAGCAAGTACCACCATAACCAGCGATATGGTTGCTATATGATCTCTTGAATTTTTTGTCTAGTCTGGCCTCCTCCACCTTCCTGATCTCCAAAGTAGCTAGAATTACAGGAATGAACCAGTTGGTGTTTTTTGTCTTTTAATTTTTTTTTATTTTTTTTTGCCAGTAGTGGGGTTGAACTCTGGGCCTGGGCGCTGTCCCTCAGCTCTTTAGCTCAAGGCTAGTGCTCTACCACTTGAGCCACAGTGCCACTTCTGGATTTTTTTTTTTTCTGCTTATGTGGTGCTGAGGAATCGAATCCAGGGCCTCATGCATGCAAGGCAAACACTCTACCACTGAGCCACATTCCCAGCCCCTTGTCTGTTTATTTTTTGACACTGTCTCAGACCTACCTCAGCCTGGTAAGTGCTGAGATTATAATTGTGAAGAGCTACTATGTCCAGCTTGAAGCATGATTCTTTCTGAGTCAGTAAATAGTTTTGCATATGTCTAATCTGTGTGTATTTTGTTTTGATGCTAGGGAATGAACCCAGAGCTTAGACCAGGCTGATTACATTTTCTTAACACTGAGCTATAAGCTATACAAGATCTTTAAATTTTTTCAGGATGAGGGTGTGGTAGAATGCTGGTGTAGCATGCATGAGACCTTGTGTTCAATCCCCAGTACTCTAGTACTGCCTACCTACCCCCCTCTTTTTTTTTTTTAACTTTTCAATGTATTAATTTTCTGTTATTCCTATAATAACCCACTGCCTTGAATCCTTTGAGATTCAGTTGAGAACCTTAAGGAAGCTGCAGGGAAAAGTGTTGCTTTCAGCTTCTGGTCAGCATTCCTTAGTTAATGGGCTCATCTATTTTCTCATTGTCTTATCCTTTGTATGTGTCTCATAATTCCATCTGCCTCCTCC